CAATTAGGTCGACTTTTTTTTCTTAAAAACTAAGCAAGATACGAAAAAAATTCAATTGACAAAAAAGTTGTATTTCTAATTGCTCAATCCAAAGAAATAATGAAAATTGCACAAAAGTCAGTGGCGTACATTTTTAAGTCAAAAATATTCGTTCAAATCCCGTTCGTGACGCTACTGGACTTAATAAATCAGCTCCTTAATGTTATAAATACCATTGCCAAATTACAACAAAATTAGGTGAAGGATATTTATATTTAGGAATAACTTTTTTTTATATTTATTTTAACACCCTGTATCTTGAGAATGAAGGATTTGCAGATCCATGTTTATATGAACATTTCGTCTTAAAATTACTTGAAGAATCGTTTGTTCAATTTATGGTACATACTTAATTAACACCCTGTATAAAATCAAACATTTCACTATTCTGTTGCCCGTTGACAAATATATACCTCACATTATCAATAGTTGCATTGAAAGAATCGTACTTTTCAATACTTCGTTGGTATACCTATTCCAAAGAAAAACATCTAAAAAAATGTTCAGATTTGAGAATTGAGTTTGCTATCTACTGCCTCCAAAATATTTGAAAGATTCTGGCAACTGTAACTTATCATCTTATCTGCTTTGGTACTAATTGACTTAAGTCGTTGGTTTGCGAAATTTCGTTCCAAAGATTGTAGCCTCGAAAATGAGTCCCAAAGTGGTTGATCTACAGTAATCTAGGGCGTGGAATTGAGGACTCTGCTGGTGATTGACCCATTACAAACGTTGCATGGGATGACGGAAAAACTGGACGTCGGTTCCCATGCGGTTTTTGATGGCTTAAATTGAGTGTCGAGTGTCTGCCTCACCCACCATACTCTCCAGACCTCTTACCAACCGACTAAAATCACGATTACCAATCACGACCAGGCAAAAATGGCCTTCATTACCCTTATAAAAATCACCACCACCCCATTTTTAGGCTGACGGAATAGATAAACTTATGTTACGTCGACAAAAGTACACTGTCGCTCATTTCGATTAAATTCAATAAGAATTCACTGAGATATTACAGTTTAAAATAGATTCATAATAACGGACAAAACTTTTGAAGCAATCTAATAACAAATACCAAAAAGTAGTATTACTCATTTTTTTTTTCAGATCAAATATTGAATTTACTGTCATATTTTCTGATGGATTCAAACTTTGTGTACTCACCGTGCATTTATATTTTTTACAGTCAGTCCAAAAGTTTGAGGCTGAAAACTTTTTACGTATTACCACTGTTATTCCGAAACATAAACTTTGTCCCACTCCAACAATTCCACCGTTGCCATGATATAGCGGTAACGGGTTGTAGAATATATCATTTTTATTGAGGTTTGGAAGAACATTTACACCAGTTGTGGCCATGATGTATCTGAAAATAAAGAGTCAAAAGTAATATAGCTGCAAGAGTTCCAGCCTAAAATCCCATGTATTTTCGTATGGCGCTTCATTCTGGCGATTTTTGGACCTCAGGCCCATTTCACACAGATTGGAAGGGACAAAGGTCCGCGCCTCGTCTCTGCCAGACATCCATTCTGTGTGAATTGGGCCTTAGACTTTCAGAGCTCACACGTACAGTCAACCAATCAGAAGCTACCGCGCGTACAGCGGGAAATTCAAATCAGTAGATGAACAAACGTGTTCCTAGCTCAAAATCCTATGTATTTTCTTATGACATCCGATCGGAACCTTGTGGAACACCCAACTCGAGGTAGGTGTGTTTCGGAGAGTGGGAGAGAGAAACGTGTGACGTAATCGATGCAGAGAAGGATGGAATGAAAATTGCAAAAAATTTAGCGTCATAAAAAAATACATGAGATTTTGAGCTAGGAACAAGTTTGTTCATCACTGATTTGAATTTCCAGCTGTACGCGCGGGAGTTTCTGATTGGTCGACTGTATGACGGCAAAATTGAAGGAGTGGCCTCTGGAAGTCTCAGGCCCAATTCACACAGAATGGATGCCTGGCAAAGACGAGACGCGGACCTTTGTCCTTTCCAATCTGTGAGAACTGAGCCAGAGGTCCAAAAATCACAAGAATGAAGCGCCATAAGAAAATACATGGGACTCTCTCAAAAACGAATCTCCTCGATAGGAAGATTAACAGATTGCCTCTGGTCTGGATTCCTGGCCAAACTGACCTGAAAGGCAATGGAGCTGCTGACTCCCTTGCAAAGGAGAATGCTGTAAGCAGTTTCATCGGACCAGAACCTATCATTGGCACCGCTTTAGGCTTTGCCAAACAAAGATGGAACACCTGGATAAAAGAAGATTTATGGACTTCTGGTAGAATCTTCCAGGATTGGCTCACTCCAAGGTGTTTATTCACCCTTTGAAGTTGTTGAACTACAGTAGGAATGAACTACGATGTCTAACATGCCTTCTTACAGGTCACTGTCAATTGAATCATCATATGCAGAGACTCGGATTGATTCCGTTTGAAAAATGATGAAACAGCAAAGCACATATTTTGTGCCTGCCCCGACCGAATCAGGTTTTTAGAGTTCGGCAGAGCCGTACTCTTACCATCTGACCTGATTGACCACTCACCATACAAACGAATCTGCTTCGTTAAGAAGCTGGGTTGATTTGGTCGAGTGTGAATAGGTGTGAGCCATAATAAATCCTTGCGGGTTGCAGTTGAGGGTCGAATAGACCCACTCACTTTGGACCTAACCTAACCATCTTTTCAAAGCACTTCGATAACTCTCTCACCGGTAGAATTCGCCAATCAGGGCCAGGCAAAAACGACTTTCTTCAATTTCATCGAATCCCGAGCAATACATCTTGGCATTTTCATTCGCTTTTGTGTTGAAAATACTCCATGTGGAGGTTTGATTTTTTTCTATTCCTCCACATTTATTCAAGAATCTTTCAAAAAAAGGAAGAAAGCAATTAATTTCGAAATGAACTCTTTACAAAGATCTGAAGATCATGGAGATAAGTAATTTTCAAATACTAACTGAAAAAACAATCCTCCTCCCCAAAAACTAATCGCTCCTGAAAATATACCCCTTTAATGTTTTTTTTTTGTTTTAATCTAAGTCCGGTCGTACACGGACCACATATTTGCAGTTGAGGCAACCACAACATTGTGGCCACGTTGACTGCACTTTGCGGTTGACCCAACCACATTTTTGTGGTCGACTTGCGGTCATATAAACCACACTTGCAGTTGAGGCAACTAACATCAAAAATTGAATGCTGTGAGGCCAATATGAGAAAAAGTACAGGACGATGTACGCGGTCGGGTACGACTGCAAGTTTGTGGTTAGTGTACGGCGGATGCCGCGATGCCATCTTGGCGGAGATCAGCAGCAAGTTGACTGCAGACGCCTGTTTTGACTTTTGTGTACGTCCGGGTACGTGTATTTCTTATGGGCGGCTTGAGTTCGCTGGGACGCGACTTCAATTGTGTGGTCGATCCGACCGCAAAATGTGGCTCGTGTACGGGCTCTCTTATTTCTTAGAACCAACGAATGAAAAACTTATATGACTTCATCTTTTAAATTCTTCTGCACTCGTGACTTGATGAATTTATACACCATCTCCGATAATTATTTGTATTTGTTAATGACGAAATGATTTCTATTTGACCTAATTATGAAATGAATTGTTATTATACTAACCTGGAATGTGTAACTCTAGCCGCTTTTGGAAGACCCGTTGTACCAGAAGTATACATTAAAATAATAGTGTCATTGGTGTCCGTCTGGGAAATATGCTCCGAAGGGGATGCTACTGATTGGTTTCGAATTTGGTTTTTGAGATCGATTGCTCCAGCTACAGTATTACATGTTTCGGATGTAGGGAAATGAAAGAATTCGAATCCATCTAATTTCGATTTTATACCCTCGATAGCTGAAAAATTGAAAATAATGTCACATTATCCTATAAGGAAATTATCTGTTGAGGTTTGCAGAAAAAGGTACATTTTGTTTTCCAATTATTGATCAGATCCAGATCCTAGATGCCCGGTGTTTTTCAATGCACCTTATTGGGGCCAAGTTTCCGTTTTTTTTCTCAGAGAATTCGTAGTACTCGATGGTTACTATTCACAAACTTTATTACTATTATTATTCAATAAATTCTAGGTGGCATAGCCTTTCAAACATAATAAATTGAGAACAGAGGAAGAAAAAGGAAGAATGTAACACTCAATAAACGAAATCAAAAGTTAGTTTTTAAAATTCCAGTGATGGTCCAGATCATTTATAAAAGCATGATTCAACTGCAACAACATCCATAGAAAAAGCTAATCTACTATCTGAACCATTTGCGTCCCACTTCACAGTCGATTTTCTGGAAAAGGCACCATCCACATTGGAATCCACAATGCCGGAAATTACTTTTCGACAACGTCTGGTCAGGCGAATTTCGAAACGTTTCAATATCAACAAGGCGTCTAGTTCTGAAAAAGTACCCGTCATCGTACTTAAAAAGTACGCCAATGGACTCGCACCAGTATTTTGCAGACTTTTCAACCTGTCTTATAAGGAAGCAGATTTTCCGTCTTGTGAAAAGATTGTTCGCGAAGATTGTTCAGCCTATTCCCAAAAAGTTCAAGAAAGAGTTTCCAAATAACTATAGACCAGTCGCCTTGCTGTCAGTGCCCTAAAAAACATTAAAAAAGCTATAACCACCATATTCTTAAATATTTGAAAGGCTTTGACATCTTGAGCGATCATCAATATGGCTTTCGGAAACAAAGATCAATAGGCAATTTTCTATCTTATGTCACCCATATTTGGAATAACGCAATCAAGGAATATGGACAGTCAAGAGTTGTTGCGCTTGATATTTCTGAAGCCTTTGACCGTGTGTGGCATGAGGGTTTGCTGGCCAAACTTCGATGCTATGGCTTGTCGGATCATTTTTGTGTATGGCTCTCCAGCTTCCTGAAAGAACGTTCCCTGCAAGTGGTCGTCGATGAATATCTCTCGAATACGTTCACCATCAACGCTTGGTTCTCAGGGATCCCAGGGATCCATGTTGTCTCCAACCCTTTTTTTATTGTATATTAACGACTTATTGGAAAAAATCAAGGATCCAATATATTATTTTGCTGACGACAACACACTTTTCTCGCCGTTCCATTTGAATTCCAGGATATTGACTGCGGATGGACATCTTCACCAGCAGCAGAAGGTTGCATACGTTAATGAGGATCTAGAGGAAATTTCGAATTGGGGTTCAATTCAATGCCACGAAAACCCAGGCATCGGTTTTCTCCGAAAATATAAATGTCTTCGAACCAGTTATAATAATGTCAGGACAGACAATTCCGCTTTCTGCTTCGATAAATTTGTTGGGGGTTGAAATGGATATCAATATGTCTTGGCACAATCATGTCGCTGAAATTGCAAAAGCTGCTTCTCAAAAGCTTGAAATACTGTTCCGAACCAGAAAACTGTACAATCCCCAGCAACTTTTGATGCTGTATGAAGCTCAGATCAGACCTCTTTATGAGTATCGTCCACATGTATGGAGCTCCGCTCCTAAGAATACCCTGAAGCTGCTGGATTCCATCCAGAAAAAAACTATCCACCTGATTGGAGACACAAAGATCACTTGCAACCTTCAAATTCTGGAACATCGAAGAAAGATTGAAGTTTTGTCTCTCTTTTATAGATACTTTCACGGAAAGGTTTCAATTGATTTGGCACTTTCAGCGATTCAAATCCAACGTGAATCGCTACTTTAGCACAGGCACTGCTCTAACTGCGCCTCAATGATTTTCTCGTAGTGATTGTGTTTTGTCCTAAAAAAAATATAGAGCACAAACTATATGCTCAGGCAGACCGTTTCAGTGGAAGAAAACACGATTGCACAAGAAATTCTCGGCCACACAGTTTCAGGAATCTTTCTCTCAAGATGAATGTTGTATAAGTCTTTCATCATTACTCCGCATAAAAAAGTCCAAATTCACTGAATAGTATCCATGGAGAAGTTGATTCAAGTAATTGAAGGCGACGATTATATATGAAGTAATGAATGGATCAGTGAAATGTCAACTATATGCAAATAATAAAAATGATCATCATTTTAAATTTGTTGTATTCTTTCCATCATTTATTTAAATATTCTTTATTTTTTGATTTTATGTATTGATATTTCACTCATTATTCAACCCATTCAATGATTTATTTTAATTTCAGGACATACTACACTTTATCTTCACAAATTAGCGATACGGAAACTTTCAGTGTTATTGAACTGATCAATAGAACATTGACCTAGGGTTTATCAGTTTCGACTTTACATTTTCGATATCAATGAAATAATCTGAGGACAAAATCTACAGAGATTGAAATGGTAATATCCATATACTAAATTAAAGGATTCTTTTGTCCAAATTGTGGACCAAAATCAAGTCTCCAAAAGACCGGAATCAAGTCACTTACAGTTTGTCAAGAATAGGAAAAAGGGTGAAATTTTTGATGCCTGCGCGTAAGGAAGAGCTATAATGATAGGGAGCCCAAGCGGGGATTTTGTGATTTACTAAAGCGCGGCAGATTAATAAACGGGGGGATACCTTGTACCCGAATATGAGCCCCATATATAAGGCCGCCTGTTAGGGGTAAAGGATCATTGAAATAAAATTGGGAATGTCTCAATCTGCATACCCTAGGTAGTAACACGCTCCAAGAGTTTTGTGACTCACTTGACGCTAGGAACTGAATGTATCATATTGCCCGCGTTGCAGATCCTCGTTTATCATCGATATTCCAGATTTGATTCCTCTGTCGATGTCGATGAGGGGAGTTGTCATCACACTTGCTTACTTAGGCTTGTTCTTTAAGAACAGTTGGGTCCATCAATGCATTTGTGGTTCAGCCACAGTAGAATAATATAACCAGTAGGGTGTCTTACCACGTGATCCGCCCGAGTTGCCGGGGGCCTTCAACCGCTCTTAGGATGAGATTCTCATCCAACGTGTTCAGTGCTGTAGTGTCGAAGGATTTAACGGTGCCACGGACATCGGATTAGTTATAATAAACAGTCGGAAATTGATATTGTGTTTAGTTTATTCGCTGTTGTTACTATAGTTTTCAGTTCTTGTAGATGGTTGTGAGTAACTTACCATAAAATCTTCTATAATATCCTTCAATTTCATTTTTATATGAGCGCACGCCTATGGTAAAAGAACAAAATTGGTTCCGCAATTCGTTTCGAGGTCACCGAGAACTTTGTGAATTTATTAATGAAAGTAGTAGGAGTGGACTTACTGGTTGATTTTTACTATGGTTCAGCCTTTCACTCCTTATGAGACCTATGGCGGGTCAAATATGCGCTGTTTGTTGTTGGATCTCAAATGCGTTGTTTGGGCTATGTTTTTTCAACTAGTTGCCTTGAAGTAAAAAGTGCAGTGAACGACAGGGTACGAACATTTCCTAGGCGTTCGATGTCTAAGCTTGACTTTGCAACGGACCACCTTGGGGAGTGTCGTTTATCTTTTATATTAGCTTCTACGTACTCATACTTGTTCTTTAAGGACAGTTGAGTACAGCATTGCTTTCGTCGCCCAGTTTAGCACCTCTGATGAGACCAACAGTGGGCCAAAACAGCGCTGTCTGGTGTTGGGTCAGAAATGCTTTATTTATAGGCCCTGGTTTCATTTACGTACAACTTTGTTAAAGCTGCCTTGAATTAAACTTCGTCATTTTTGTGCATTGTGGGAAATAATCAATCATATTTTTTTCAGGTTGGAAAAGGTATCATATCA